AAGGAAGGAAGGAAGGAAGGAAGGAAGGAAGGAAGGAAGGAAGGAAGGAAGGAAGGGAAGGGCAATAGCAATAGCACTTAGACTTATAAATCACTTTACAGTACTTTACAGTCCTCGCTAAGCAGTTTACAGAATCAGCCTCTTGCTCCCAACAATCTGGGTCCTCATTTTACAGACCTTGGAAGGATGGAAGGCTGAGTCAACCTTGAGCCTGGTGAGATTCGATCTGCCAAACTGCAGGCAGCCAGTGATCAGCAGAAGTAGCCTGCAGTACTGCACTCTAACCACTGTCCCACTGCAGCTCTAAATGTACTGAATGAGAGCAACCCAGATTTTCCTACTTCTGCCCCTCCTGAACCCCAGAAGTATAAAATAGATGAGTTAAGCCTCTGATATTACAGCTCATTCTCACAGTCGGTTAGAAGAAACATATCGGCAGATTTCACTGTTAGAAATAAAACAGATGAACAGAAACAGCCTGTTCTACTCAAAAGAGTGGGGGCTGCCACATGGGTTAAGAAGGCAATACCATGCAAGATGATTTGAGGATCTTCATTTTCATATACAGGACTGGTTTCTGAACCACAGCAATCACTGACATTCTTGGATTCTTCATTCTGCACCCTTCAATAAATACTATACGTAGTTTATGACCCTCACCTAAATGGTTCATTCCTGCATAGGGGCTGTTGGACATCTCATCAGCTTAAGACACTTACTTTAGGGAATGTCTCTTCCTAGTGACCCAGCAGCAGAACTGGTAGCAGAGTCGGACAGTGAGGAGGTTGGGGAGGAACATGGGCCAGTTCTGGAGTCTGGGGAAGGCTCTGATGAGGGCTCTGCATTGGAGGCAGAGAGGGGGCCAGGGCCGTCTGACAGTTCTCAGCTGCTTTTGGAGCTAGACAGCAATGAGGCAGAGGAACATCTGTGCACATGCACAGAGCTGCCAAAAGAAAAGAACAGCTAAGAAATCAGGGTTGACTTGGGAGTAAGGCCACAGGTGGACGGTGAATGGCCCCTCCCATAGAAAATAGAAGAAGAGTGAAAGGGGAGTGGGCTTTTGCAGGAAACAATTCATTCCTTCGTTCATTTGTTTCTTTCAGGAGTGTGAAGATCTGTCCATGAATCTCAGAGACTCTGGGCCCAGTCTTTCCTTTGCACATTGGAAAATATTTACATGGCAGCTTTCCAAGATAGATAAGTGGTCATAAATATTCCTTTGAAAGACTGTTTGCCAGGCCTTGGCTGAAGGTGAATGAGAGGAATTCACATTCATTTAATAAAAGGGGTTTTGTTGGGACCAGGATTCAGCTTCGTGCTTTTTGGGGAAACCTAGATCAGAACAAACACCAAGTGAAAGTGGCTGAAGTTCTCCCCGGCAGCTGTCACATCGAAGCCCCCCATTTCAGAAAGGTTCTGCTTTGCCGCGGTGTCACCTGCCAGCTGGAATGTGCAGGGAGAAATGATCTCCGGTTCCCTATCCCTCAATTATTCCTGTTCGGTTTTGTCCTCTATAAATAGAATTCCCCTAGGAGAAGAGTCGTGAGAACACAGTCTAAAAATATAACTGTTTCCCCACATGGACAGCTCTAGTGATGGCCAACTGGTTTTGATCGGTATTGCAAAGAGACAGATCCATGCTGGTGGGGCGTGAGTGAGTAACCGGGGGCTTCTATTCCAGGTCTTCAAGTAAATCCAGCTCAACATTGGGAAGCCAAGTTTGAGCCAGCTGGGAAAGAAACGCTTGGAGCTTCAGCTCAAATGCAATTGCAAGGTAAAATCTGCTTCTATCAGTGTAAGCTGGGAGGAGAGGACTAAAGGTAAACAGCGGGAGACTGACAGGCTAATCCTAAATTCAATTGCAGGTCGGAGAGACTGCATTTAAATGGATTTAGCCCGATTGAACCTCGCAGGCATTGTGCATTTGGAAGCGGGAGGGAGGTAATACGAGATGACAGGGGTGGCTATTGGAAAAGAGGATGAGAATAAATCAAAACTTTATAAGAGGGATGCCCAGCTTGGTCCAAGGTTGCTTGCTGAGCCTTGCTTCCTATGAGTGGCATGGATTCAGGGTCACCTAAGGATAACAATCAGAGCCCTATGTTACAAGATGCCTCAAAGGGGGTGGAGGAGGAGCGGTGACTATTCCTTCAGGCAATAGCTATGGTCAACGGGTTAGAGCTTCTCCTCCCCATTCAGCCAAGGCACTTCATTCATGGTCAGGGCTTGGCTTTGTTTAGGAGCAGCACCCAAGGAAGGAGCCACAAAGCATCAGGACTTCTAGAAGATACAACATGGAGGGAGAAGAACCCTCCACTCATTTCCCAAGAACAAGAAAGCTTCAGGGCATCTAGAAGACACAACACAGAAGGAGGTTAAGATTCTCCACTCATTCCCTAAGAATAACAAAGCATCAGGACTTCTAGAAGCCACATCATAGAAAGAGGTTAAAGAGAAGATTCTCCATTCATTTCTTAAGAACAAGGAGGTTAAGATCCTATGTTCAGTTTCTAGGATCACCAAAGATTCAAGATGTCTAAAAGGCAGATCATGGAAAGAAGTTGAGGAGAAGACCCTCCATTCATTTCTTAAGAACAACAATGCCTCATGACTTCTAGAAGACCTACAGTAATACGGAAGGAGGTTAAGGAGAAGACCCTCCACTCATTCACTAAGAACAACAAAGCATCAGGACTTCTAGACACAATATGGAAGAAGGTTAAGATTCTCCATTCATTTTCTAAGAACATCAAAGATGTCCTGTCTAAAAGAAAGAACATGGAAGAAAATTGAGAAGACCCTCCACCCATTCCCTAAGAACAAGAAAGCCTCAGGACATCTAGAAGACACAACACAGAAGGAAGTTAAGATTCTCCTAAGAAGAACAAAGCATTGGGACTTCTGGAAGACACAATATAGAAGGAGAAGAACCCTCCACTCATTCCCTAAGAACAACAATGCATCAGGACTTCTAGAAGACACAACATGGAAGGGGGTTAAGATCCTCCACTCATTTCCTAAGAACATCAAAGATGTCCTGCTAAAAGACAGAACATTGAAGGAAGTTGAGGAGAAGACCCTCCATTCATTTCCTAAGAACAACAGTGCAACAGGACTTCTAGAAGACCTACAGTAATATGGAAGGGGGTTAAAGAGAAGATCCTTCACTCATTGCCGAAAGAGCGAGCTGCAGAAGGAACTGTCAATCAGCAGCTGTGAGCCCAAACTTCTCCAACTTGATATCCTGCAGTTGTGTGGGCAAAGATACCATCATGTTAACTGCAGGATGATGGATGGGAGCTAACACCCAACACTTCTGCATGGCGCTGAGCTTGAAAAGGACACTAGCAGCAGTGATCATAATCAGACTCTGATAAAGAAGCTACCCTGAGACTTCCCATCATGAATAACTTTTCCTTTACACACACACACACACACACACACACACAGACAGACATTTTATTTTATTTTTTATATAAACAATCCATTTTCTATTAAACAGTATGTCGTCTGGGTACAAATACTTTGTGCCAACAATTAAAGTTTACAATCATATTCATTATTTAATATATTCTTAATTTCCAATATCTTCAATGTCTAATACTATAACAATCCTCATTATGATTTATTTAACTCTATTACCGTGTTTCCCTGAAAATAAGACAGGGTCTTATTTTCTCTTGAGCCCTGAAATAAGCACTTGGCCTTATTTTCGGGGAGGTCTTATTATTTTTGAGGTGCAGGAGGCAGCGAACGTGGTCACCTCATGGCTGCTGCTGTGTTGCAATATATTATCCAGGNTTCTTGGATGAAGAAGCTTCTTGGATGAGAAGTGAAACATCTTCAAAGGAAAACCAGAAAGTCCAGTTGCCTCTTAAAAAAAAAACACCTTTGGGACCCATCAAGTCTGCATCCCTGTCTGAAAATAGCTAGACAGGATGAAATGGGGTGGCTTTTCTCATTCTGTATGGGTTGCACTTACGTTGGTGCCATTTCCACAATTATCTTCATACTTGGTCTCTATGTAGATAGAAAATTTTGGCAGAAACGAGCACTGCAAAAGGGAAGAGAAATGGAGAATGTGAGTATATATACATATACATACATACATACACACACACACACACACACACACACACACACACACACAAACACACATACACACGTGGATGATAAATGGTCCTCCCAGAGGAAATAAAAGAGGAGCGAAAGGGGAGTGGAGTTGCAGGAGACAATTAGTTCGCTTAATTGGACTCTCTGAGACTCCTTGCCAAGTTTTTCAGATATCGGCCTGGCAGCTCTCCAAGCCATGGAAGGTCTGTGACTGTAAATCCTCCCTGGAAACACTTTGCTGGAGGTGAATGAGCAGAATTCACAGTCAATTAATAAAAGGGGATTTTGTCTGGACCAGGAGTTTGCTTCATGCTCTCGGGAAGCCTCGGTCAGAATAATCTGGAGGGCTTCTGCATCTTTCAGCAGGAGCACAAAAAATTCAGAGGAACTGCAGGGGTCCATTTCCCGAGAAGGAAGGAAGATCTGGGTTTCTAGCCCTCAGGATTTCAAATTTAATAGTTGAAGATTTGCAAGCGGTTGGTCAAAGTTATAAAAGGGGCAGAATAGGATTTTTTTTTGCAGGTGCTATTTTCCGTCAACTAGATGAAAGAAAGAAACGTTTCTTTTTGTTTCTTGGTGCGGAATGGCTTGGTTTATATCCATAACTTTATAGGAAGGAAAGTGTAAATAGCACCTTATGTGGATGGTGAGGAGAGACAGTTTGATCTAGTGGTTAAGGCAGCAAGCTAGAAAGTAGGGGACTGTGAGTTCAAGTCCCACATTAGCCATGAAAGCCAGCTGGGTAACTTTGGGCCAATCCCCAGGAGATGGTGAGTTTTAGAGCTGCCTTTGGCATGAAAGCCATCTGGGTGATTTTGGGCCAATCCCCAGGAGACAGTGAGTTCTAGCTATGAAAGCCAACTGGGTGACCTTGGGCCATTCCCCCTCTCTCACCTCACAGAGTTGTTGTTGTGGGGAAAATAGGAGGAGGAAGATGTTTTGGATATGTTTTCCGCCTTGAGTTACATATATATGACTAGTTGATAACCCAGTGTTTCTGGGTATTTAATCCTGTATTAGACAGGAAAAGGCCTGATTTTGTTGAAAATGTCTGGACCAAATATAATTTCTAATATTGGATTTTCCCCCTTACCAGAGGGAGCCCCCTTGTGGAGTGCTGTGAAGCTGTTACCATGGCAAGTCCACTGCGCTGTACAGTAGAATCCATTTTACAGCACAACAGGCTGTATCTTAACAGAACACACAGCCCGAGAGGTTGAAGGGGTGTGTTACCCGCACAGTATTTGTTTCCTGAGAGTAAGTCATCTGTGTACCAAGTTTGGTTGAGATTGCTCAAGGCGTTCCAGAGTTATGCTGGAACACACACACAGATGAAGCAAACTAATGGTTTCCTGCAAAGTCCACTCCCCTTTTGCTCCTCTTTTATTTCCTCTGGGAGGAGCCATTTATCGTCCACCTGTGGCCTTACTCCCAAGTCGATCCCTGTTCTTGAGCTGTTCCCTTCGTCTGGCAACTCTGCGTATGTGCACACTGGGAACAGGCTCCAGCTGTTCCTCTGCCTCACTGATGTCTGACTCTGAAGGCAGCTGATAACTGGCATAGGGCTCTGGCCCCTCCTCTGCCTCTGACACGGAGCCCTTATCAGAGCCTTCCCCAGACTCCATGACTGGCCCAGGTTCCTCCCCAACCTCCTCACTGTCTAAGTCTGCTGCCAGCTTTGCTGGCTGTTGGTGGCCCACAACACAGATGTTCCCTTTTTGCAAAGACTAATCTGCAACTCAGACAAACGAAGAGCAAACAATAGCATAATCAAGGAACTACAAACATTGACAGGGAAACCACTGGTATTTCTATAGAGGACAAACCCCTCTCCCTTCCAGCACTGATGATGTTACCTAGTTGGGTTATGAAGCGTCTGCAAGAAAATAACCAAAACTCAGAGAGCCCCAAGGACTCCACTGAATGCCTTGAAGTTACTCATGGAGTCCTTGAGTCCTCTCTTCTATTCTGCTAGAGAAGTACTGAAAGTAAGAAGGCATCTTAGTACTTACTGTGTACTCTGCACCCGTTGTGAGATCATTCCAGATATCCCAAGTTAGCAAAGGGGAGACAGAGAAAGAGACAAAGCTAAGGTTGGAGAGAAGGAAGAATGATCCATTACACATTTTCTGGACAACTAAAGCAGAGGGGGGCTGCTGCTGGTACGGACCGATTCACCCATACCGGTAGTTCTGACCATAGGCTGCCCCCTCCCCCCTCCTGGTGCTATCCTATTCTATATATCTATGCACACCTATGCAGCCGAGATGATTTCCGTGCCTCGCCTGCTCTACTCACCATGGCCACCCAAGAAGGTCTTCTGGAAGCCTCGTGCATGAAGTCGCCGTGTGTTTGAAGCCACGCACAAGCGCAGACACTGCACATGCTCACATTTTTGGTTTTTGCACTAGGCAAAGCAGTTGTTACACTATGGGAAGCCCACCTCTGAACTGAAACTACTCACTTTGTAACCTGGGGTAACCATGATGGTGTTTTAGTAAATTTCAAAGCTATAAAAGCAATCAGATTGTGCTCAAATCTAGCAGGAAAATCCAATAACTGCTAAATAAAAGACCAAGGGAGTAAATTGCCATACATCTAAGATCTCAAAAGACTTGATAAGTGATCTTTTAAGGGTGGTAAAGGTTCCCCTCGTACATAAGTGCTAGTCGTTAGGGGGCACTGCTCATCTCTGTTTCTAAGCCAAAGAGCCAGCACTGTCCGAAGACGTCTCCGTGGTTATGTGTCTGGCATAACTCAACGCTGAAGGTGCACGGAACGCTGTTACCTTCCCACCAAAGGTGGTCCCTATTTTTCTATTTGCATTTTTTACGTGCTTTTGAAATGCTAGGTTGGCAGAAACTGGGACAAGTCATGGGGAGCTCACTCCGTTACGCAGCGCTAGGGAATCAAACCGCGCAATTGCTGACCTTTCTGATCGACATGCTCAGCATCTTAGCCCCTGAGCCACCGCATCCCATTTAAGGAAATTTGCAAAGGATCAAAATATTGAATTCCCTCAACACTTTCACTCGAGACAGAGCTTTTTGCAGATTTTCTTAGAAAAAAATATGGACTGTCCAAGAGTCGTGATTTTTTTGAAGCATGCCCAGGGTTGAAATTCAGACCCTCGGCAACTGACTCATATTTATGTCGGTTTCAGTGTCCTGGGGTCACGTGATCCCCTTTTGTGACCTTCTGATGAGCAAAGTTAACCTGGAGGCCAGATTCACTTAACTGTGTGACTAATTTAATGACTGCTGCGATTTAACTGTGGCAAGAAAAGTCGTAAAATGGAGGAAAACTCAAGAAAGGTCATACTTAGCAAGATAAATGTTGGGCTCAGTTGTTGAGGACTGCCTTCCGGAGGTCTATCTCTCTTGTAAGGTTGTAAGAATGAAAGTATTTTTCCCCTGTTTTCCTTTCACTCCCCAGAAAACCAGGGAGGATCCCATCTGAAATACAGATGCCAGATTAGCCTTTTTTTTCTTTTTGTGGGCTGAGAAAGCCAGGTATCCAGTTTGTGGCTTTCTCTCTGACCCAGGCTTCCCAAGAGTATGAAGCAAACCCCTTGTCCTGGCAAAAACCCTTTTATTAATTTACTGAGTGTTCTGCTCACTCACATCCAGCAAAGTCTTTTGAGGGAGAATTTACAATGATGGACCTTATCTGGCTTGGCCATGAACCAATTAAGCGAACTAATTGTCTCCTGCAATCTCCACTTCCCTTTCGCTCCTCTTTTACTTCCTCTGGGAGGGGCCATTCATCGTCCACCTGTGGCCTTTACTCCCAAGTCTACCCCTCTTCCTTAGCTGTTCCCTTCATCTGGCAACTCTGCGCATGCGCACACTGGGAACAGGCTCCAGCTGTTCTTCTGCCCCACTAATGTCTGACTCTGAAGGCAGCTGATAACTGTCAGACGGCCAACACAGAGCCCTCATCAGAGCCTTCCCAGACTCTAGGACTGCCCCATGTTCCTCCCCAACTTCCTCACTGCC